CTTTTCCATTAGCATGTTGTTGTGTTGTAATAGTGGTGGTAGAGTTGTCGGTGTTCGTGTTAGTGTTCGTGTTAGTGTTAGAAGAAGCATTAGTATTGGTGCTAGTGTTAGTGTTAGAAGAAGCATTATTGTGAGTCGTTGATTCTGCTGCCATATCGATGAATGTTAATTATGTTTTATGTTTGTAGTAAACGTATTTAGAACAATAAAATATTTTTTTTCATTAGAAAAGAATATGTAATTATATCTGAAACTGAAACAAGGTTCCAAGTAAAAAAAGTTTATTATGTTAACCATGATCGACGTTGATTGTCATTAATATTAAATTAAAGGCGTGAAAAAAAAAAACAATTAGATAATTTTTTTAGAAAAACTTGAATTTTCCTCTTTTTTTATTAATTTCATCAACATAAATGGTTTACTTTGGGGTGACTTTGGATTCCTGATATCATACTTGTATATATACAAATTAAACAAAAATTCCTGGTAATTACTATTAAAAGTTATCTCTTTAATAATCATATTGATTTCAAAATTTACCATTTTCAACTAGTGAAATCAGTTGAATCTGCAGTTAATATTAATTTGTTATGATTTTCCAAATCATTTGCTTTCTCCAAATTCTGGTGATAATGAACTAGAACTAATCAGAATACAATAAATCAATTGTCAAATTCTGTTGCTGCTAATGTATCCTTGTCGGAAATGGATTTGTGGAAATGAAATTTCCAATCTTTTTTTTTTTTGGTGGCAAATGATGAATAATATTTTTTGTTTATTAGACATCGTATTAAATAAAAAAGTATCATCATCATAATCATCATAATCATCATAATCATCATAATCATAATCATCATCGTCATAATCATCATCATTATAATTATTGGCAGAAATCATGTTACCAAAATCTGAATGATTAGTTTTCAAGTTAATTAATTCAGTATCGCCCACCTTTATTTGTCGAATTTATTTTATTTTCTATCTCAAAGGTCTGTTTTCTTGGTGATATAATAGGTGCAGTTGAGATACTAGGTTCTTTAGATTTCATGGAATATAGGAATGAAGTCCCTAAATTTCCGTTAGTTTCTACGTTTTTGTGTCCTACATCAACATTCTTGGATTCAAATGATTTTTGTTCAAGCATATTGTTAAATAACAATGACGATAATGACAACGTCGAACCGAAATGTGTTATTACTAATTGTAGATGCTGAAGGAACAGGTTTTCCTTAATTATAACAAAAATTTATTGATAAATATAATGACAACGATGACGATGCTGATAATGATAAATAACAATAATACCATTGTAGATAAGAATTGGACACATTCCGAATATTTCTTTTTGGTATCAGAATTTCGCCAGGAAAACACGTTAACATCATCTTGTCAATTCTATAATTTGATGAAAGAGTTCCAAGTGATTTTTACATTTAACATTCTAATATATAGTAATAATAGCAACAACAACAACAATAACAATTAAATATAAATAAACCTCGCTTACTCTTTGGCATCATAAACTAAATCTTCGATTGAAATTGTATTTTTAGCATTGTAAAGTTCATTTTTTTCACTATAAATTTCACTAAAAAATGGTTTCCATTTCGAAACTGAATCATTTTTCGATTTTCGTCGCGTGAACATTCGTCATCATTCAAGTTGATGAAATTATTATAATTACTATTATTATTTATAATTATAATATTTGAGAAGGCTGTGCAGTAAATAAATTCTTTGAGGCTGAGCCAGTTGATATTTCTTAATATTTATTTATTGCACGTATAAGCCAAGAACTTGGAAAATGTGTCATTCTAATAACAATAATAATGATGTTTAATATTCAGACCGTGAAACTGATGAAGAAAATTTGAATTGCAATCAACATGGATTTGAAGAGATGTAAATAATGGGTGCGACTTTAAATTGCTCCCAGTATATCTCTTAAGCTTTGATGAAACCTGGTATAAACGGTTTCTGGGGCCTTGGAAAAATTTTATATTTTCAACTGTGAAGGAAAATGTGGCTATGTTTTTATTTTAGTACGCTCTTTAAAAAACAGAGACACCTATGAAGCGGTAAGTGAATATAGATTATAAAATTCTTGACAATCGAAAGAATCGGGAGTTCAATAACAATTGAGGTGGTCTATCTAGGACTTTGAGTCGGTTATAATAAATTTATTATTATTATTAGATAATTGATTGTATTGTTATATCCCAGGTGATTGGTTACTTTGTTCGAAACTAATATAAAGTTTTAACTGAATTCAAAACCAAATATTTTAAATGGAACAAGGAAAAAATTGACTCTCAACCTGAAAATGTGTCAAAAATTCGCTATATGTAAAAGATTTTGTTTGTTATGAAAAAGAATTGGATTAGATTTGCAAAATAAATACCAAAAAGGAATGTATCAAATGATTATTTTTTTTTAAAAAAGTTAAAATGTCCTTCGTTAAATTGTTAACACGAGACAGGAGAGAACTAGCACATAAAAGTTGTAATGAAATGAATAGTATTGCTTATTCTGCTTTTCCAACTGTTTCTGTCAGAGAAAATCAAAAAAGTTATTTTTTACAATTAGTCAAAGAAAACAAAGAACTATTAGAAAATGAAAAGGAATATTGTAGAGAAAAGTTTATTTATAATTTTGAATTAAAAAAAGCAATTTATAAATATGGTAAACCAAGAGAATGCAATAATTGTAAAACAACAAGATATTCTGATAAATTTTGCGAAAAATGTATTAGTCTACACTTACAGAGCCTCTTCAGCACTTGGACATCTGGAAATGAGATAATTGATAGTTTTATTCAAAAATGTCAACAGCTTTCATCTCTTCCAGATCGAATTATAGAATGGATACCTTATGAGCAATTTTATGAAGTAGAAAAGTTAACTGAAGGTGGATTCAGTTCTATTTATACTGCTGTGTGGACAAGAGGATCTATTGATGATTATGACGAAAATAAAAAGGAGTTTAATTATTTTGGAAATCAGGATGTTGTATTAAAATCATTAAATAATTCAAGTAATCCAGGAAAACCTTTTTTTGATGAGGTAATTGTTCTTATTTAAATTAAACTAAATTTAACCATTTATTTTAAATCAATTTTATTTATATAATTAATTTCAGGCATTGAATTATTGTAAAATTAAATCAACCTCAATTGTTTGTTGTTATGGTATAACCAAATTCCCAGAAAATGGAAATTATGCAATGGTGCTTAATTATATATCAGAAGGAAATTTAAGAGATTATATAAAAAGAAGTCATTATAATTTAACATTAAAAGATAGAATTAATATTTTTGATAATTTATGTGAATCATTAAATGATATACATTCAAAAGATTTAATTCATTGTGATTTACATAGTGGTAATATATTATCGCAAGGAGGTGTTTATTATATCACAGATTTTGGGTTATGTGGACCAGTTGATGAAAAATCATCAAATAAAATTTATGGAATTGTACCTTATATTGCACCAGAACTATTTAAAGGAAAAAAACACACAAAAGAATCAGATGTTTATAGTGTTGGGATGTTAATGTGGGAAATATTTGCAGGTCATCCACCATTTGATGATAGAGCTCATGATCATGACTTAATGTCTAATATATGTGCAGGTTTACGACCACCAATATTACCAGGAATACCTGATGACTATGCACAAATGATGAAAAGGTGTTGGGATGTGGATCCAGCCAAGAGACCAACTATCAGAGAGCTTCGTAAATTTGCTGATAATCAACTAGATGAAATTATCAATAATAATACTAGTTATAATACTACTGGTGGTAGTAGTGATTTGCAACAAGTACACAACTCACATCCATTAGCATATCATACAAGTAGAATATTAAGTAACGAATTTGCTAAATTGAATTTAAGTAATGATAGCTTATTAAATTATGAAATATAATTTATAAGGTAAATTAAATAGTCGGTTAGTTAATTAGAATCTTATTAATTTAAATATTTATTAATTAATTACAATAATAATAGTAATATTGACAATAATAATAATAAGTAGTTTATAAGGTTATAGTTGGAAAATTGGGTGAATTGTTGATGGATAGATAATCCCCAATTATTAATTATTTTCTTTATTTTTCATATTTATCAATAATTTGGTTTTCTAAAAAGTTTGAAAATAAATTTGAATCGTAAATTTTTATAATTGAATGAATGAATGATTAATATAATTCATAATTTTCCATAATCATGTATATAGTTATCCGTAATTTTGTGCAGCATCATGAGATGAGAATATCCAATTTTATTGGTGGGTTGGGTGTGTTATTCTTATTTAGAAATCAATTTGGCAATTGCGGATATTTTTTGCAGATAACTACATGATAATTTATTTACCCATTTGAGAGTATTCTTGTTATTTATTAAATATTCAATATTGTTTATTTATTTACCAACTTCATCCTGAATTATACATTAACAAGGTAAGTTGGACATATTGTAATTTTTACTCAATCATATGCATCTTTAGATCTTTAGAAGGAGAAAACATCACGACTAGATACATTTGTATTTGAAAGATGTTTGGTATTCTGTTTGAAATGTTGATTAAATGTGCTTTGTTTTTTGATTTTTCATTCATCAAATATGCTATCAATATCTTATTCTTCTTATTTTTGCTATCATCATCAGAGATTTTAAGACTTCTGGCAAGTAACAAGCATGATAATTCATTAACAATCTACATCATCTTCTGTTGTCTAAAAATTTTTATCTTATGTTAAGATTTTATTTTTCTTTAGTTGACTGGACATCCTCTACTGGCATTTTAATTGAATATTATAGTACAAACGCTCATTAAATACATGTGTATGTTTGAAGAATAACCAGCATTATTTGTTATGAACTTCTTAAACGAAGTTGCTGGCAAGGAATTAATTATATTAAATCTCATGATACCAGCTTATAAATACATTTGGGGCTCGATTTCACTTTGCTGGACGAGAACATACACTTGAAATGTTATGGAAAGGCAGTGGACGAATGAGTGGTGTGCGTGGACGTTGTTGTATTAAACACTTTAGTAATATATCTGATAGGAATATTCATCCCATCCCCTTTGTTGCAAGTGGGCCTGGCACAGGAAAGACTAGGTCTTTAGAAGAGCTTGGAGATATGCTTCAGAACCTGGCACTTAAAGATGATGACCCTAAAGTTCGTGAAATGTTTGAGAACATGATAAGTATCATTATTACAGTTGCAAGTGACACAGATATATTGCTTGGAGGGAGAAGATGCACTTTGCATTCGTATTTTATATCATTATTTTGTTGAAGGTAATAAGGATATGCAATTTGGAGAGTTTTAGAAAAGTGCAGACAATTGGGTGTTTCAAAAGGGATTCTAAGATTAGACACAATTTTGAATGTCATCAATATCAGCCAACAAAAATCGCAATATCATATAATGTTGATATTTTTACTTTGTGTAGATGAAACCAATAAGTTAATTGAGAATGACACTTCACCAACAAGTCAAACATTCCGTGCAGTAGTGAATGCAGTAGGACATATAAGTTGTGGCAAAATTGTTAAAAATATATTCTTTATTCCAATACTTGCAGGAACACTTGAAGTTCTACTCAGAGAAATTATTACAAAATCAATGCATCCTGCTTTATCACTTCCATTACCTTTACTCAGTCATGATGATACAGTTAGCATTTCCTATAAAGATGTTGGTTTAAATGAGGTTTATGTCAAAACTACAAATGTATTGCAATGCTGTATTTCAGATATTGGTGGTCATGCTAGGGCTCTGGATATTTTTTTAGAAAAGTGTGCAGATACAGAAAATGTTGAATCAATTAATCTATATGATATAATGCAATTTGTTCATGTTGAATTGTTGAAATTATATGATTTTGTAAAGATATCAACAGAAATGGCTCCAGAAGTAGCACATGCAATACTTGGGATCCCCATTACTCCCGAAACAAATATTGCTGAGAATTCAAAAATAACATATATGGACTTGGCACTTATGGGTTTGGTAGTATTTAGTAATAGCAGAGATGAAAATTATATTTACGGATGCCATATATATGGATTTGGTGTATAATTGTAAAAGCATATCAGTTGAGAGCCAAATGGGCACAGCTTTCGGAAATATTGATTATTCAAAAGTCTCTTTTTGTTTGGCAAGACTGGAAGGATTTCAATTTCCATTTTGGGCTTTCAAACTTCATCTTTATACTGTTATGGGATATACAGATGTATTATTATCAGAATTCTTAAAGGGTGCATGCTGTGGAAGCAATTTTGAGGAAGACCTTATGCAGCTGCTAGATGTTTTAACAGTCATAAGCATTAAAGAAACATATATTCTATAATGATATTGAAAATGGAAGTGTATACTGTAAATTTACTAATAACATGATTTTAAAGAATGGATGGATTCACATATTTCAAACCGTGTGCTTCAACAGACTTGGTCATTATCTGTTTTCAGATGAAGTGGGGTCAATTTAAAACATCCAATCCACAAAGGATTAATCAAAACACACAATTAATGAAGAGATAAAAAAGATGACAAAAAGTCTCAAGGCCTCGCATTCATCACTACCACAATTCCATTTGATATTTTTTTGTTATGCATCTTTATCAGAAAACGTTTGGAATATTTTATCTTACAATCACAAGTCAAAAATGTTGCCATCATTTATCATGATAATTTTCATCAATTTTATGGGCCTATCTATGCAAGTCGAGCACAATTTGTTGCTGGTCTCTTTATAGTCCTAATGCATTTTAAAATTATAATAACTTTTCACAATTTTTTAAACTCTAATTCTCAGCAAATGAAAAGATTGTTTGCCCTGGTTGGCAATTGCATCTAATTCATGGAGAGGTCCTACAATTGCAAATAAAATCCTTGGAAGGCGAAAGGAAAGACCATTTGAAAATGAAGATGATTTGTTAAAACATGTTAAATTTCCCAAAACACAGTTATCACAGATTCAGTTTTGATTACATGATAGCTCTTGCTACACCGTATTTCTTTATTATATAGTAAATTTCATTTCTTATTACTAACCCAAGATTGCATTATTCTCAACAAAAAGAAAATATGCAGTAACATATTGCTATTATTATTATTGTTATAACGATTTCAAATTATGCAATAAATTAAGGAATTCTTTTTTATAAAGTCAATTATTAAAACAAAGATTTTTAACTAAAAAAAAAATCTAAAAGTTTGTCTTGCACAATCCTGCAATATATTCAGCATAAAATTCTTTCTATTGTTAATTATGTTTTTTAAACAACAAAAATTTTTTTTTTTTAGCAGATGAATAAAAAGGATAATAGTTCTAATGAACATGAATTGTTTTTTTAGGTTGTGGTTGTTACGTGAATCCTTTCAAGCCATTTCCAACTCCGAAAAAGACATATTTTTAATGGCAATGAAGACAGATCTAATAAAGAATCTTCTCTGCAGAAATCATAATACACATATTTGCCAAGAAACTTATTTTAATATGTTAGGAATTGGCAATAGTTATGTTTTTCTTTAATTGCATAAGTGTTAGCACACCAATTTGTTTTGATATTAATTGGTGATAATTTACAAATGATATGTTCAAAGATTGATTTTGGAATAAAAAATTTGGATTTATTTAATGGCAAGTATTATGCGTGTTCCATACATACTGTTATTAAATATGCTAAATTGCGAGATAGATTGTTGTGAATTTGTTTATCCAAATTAATTAATTAACGTCTTCTTTTTGCTGATATCATTATTGGGTGCATTGCTACTAGTAATAGTTATTAATTCTTATCTCCTTTATTGTTTCCACCTACATTTTTATTTCAACTACACTAATATCATTCTTTTTCTTTGACCATAAGAGTATCATCACCAACATCATTATTATGTATTTTCAAGATGGATATCAAAAGAAATTACAAAAGATAGTATATAATTAGTTTTTCTATAATTATTGTTATATTATTATTTCATTAATCAACGAAAGAATATGAAACGTACTTAACGTTAAAAAGGAGATTTTCAGTCATTTTTCATATTTGTTTAAAAGGAATTTTTATCAAACTCTTCAATGGGTCGTTCACATCTTAGGATGATCAGAACCAAACTACATTGTATCCTGTTTCCTCTTGTTGTGTTGAAATTTGACTCTTTCTAAATATTTAGGTTTCGCTAGAATATAGTGAACTAATGCTCACGTTTATTGACAAAACAAGTATAATTGAACTGCATTTGTCAGAAACAGGGTTAAAAATTGGCTTGAGAAAGCTTTATCTAATAATCTATTTCGCATTCCTAAATTGCTAAAATTATTGCATTGAAATGGTTCCATGCCTTGTTGATACTATCTAAATCAATAATTAAGTTCGGCAGAGCCCTTGGATTTGTTGTAATTCTTTTTCACCAAAGCCATCATTCACACAACATTTGCTGGCAATTTGATATATTAAGAATTTTCACATCATTTAACAGATGACAGGCGCAACTTTCAGTTTTATCTTATTTATAAAAAATTCCAGAACATGAGTGTTTTAAGCAAGAATTTAAAAGTTTAAAGGATTCCAAATCTGTTAAAAAAGTAAATTATTTTTAAGGTTCGCCTTAATTCGTAAATCATTTATCAACCAGAGAATTTTTTACATATAAAATCGCCAGGACTAAGTTCTGATTAAATAAGATCACAGAGGTTGTTATTCCCCGTAATAGTAAATTTCTTTAATTTTCAAAATGGCGACTACGCCACAATTTCAAACATATTTAAACAAAAAAAAACTATTTATGGGGCGTTATTTCATTATGACTCATTTTCAACAAAGCAGTAAGTCTCTTCAATATGGAAGTTCACATAGTTCATAAACGAGCACACTTATGTCATAATGTGCGCTAAAAGAAACATAGTAATAACAACACAAAAAATCGATCAGCGTAGATAATATATATATATATATGAATGTAATTATATAAATGATTTATTCAATACATCAAGGATAATCTGGAAAAAACTGTAATTTCAACGGCTGGCAAATTGAAATATATATTTTTTACAATTGGAGGCCCTAGAGTTAAAATTTACGTATCCGGTTATAGAGTCGTTGTTGTCGTTATCACCATCATCATCATTAAAAAAAAGGAAAAATATTACAAGAATTGAGCAGCATTAAAAAAACTTGAGGACACGTTCGTTCAATCAAACAGTTTTTCCAAAAACAAAAGGTCTTTGGAATCAGCAGGAAATAAAAGAAAGGCCATCAAAAAAGGAATGTTGTTTGAAAATTTTGTTGAGGTTACTTTTCCAACATTCAACAATATAGTCAAGGTAATGGCCTAAAAGGAAACAAGCAATTTTGAAATTGATAGGAAAAGGGCTTTCAGAAAACTATTCCCGCTCCAAAATGCCTTCTTGTTGACTGTTCATAAAACACAGGGTTTGGTCATCTCTTTCAATGAGAACATATTTTCTGAAGGCCAAGCATATATGGAACAAACTCCTTGGAAAACTTACACATCCTGAAATCTGATTTTTCTCGGATAAAATGTTCAAAAATGCTTTGATTGAGTATGAGAGATTGGAGAAAGTTAATCATGATGGACTGATGTAAAACGTTTATTACTGTAATAAATGTAATTCAACATATATTTTTTTAATAAAAAAAGGTAGGCCCGTGACCTTTTTGGGGGATAGCGCATCGCTCATTGCTTACTGCAACATCTTGTTTTTCTTTAAATGTTTTAATAATTCTTCTTGTATTATTGTGTCCCAGGTGATTGATTACTTTATTTTTGAAAATTAATTCATCATTTAAAGTGCGAAATCATGTATTTTTCCGCAAAAATCATCCGCAAATCGCCAAATCAATTTCTAAATAAGGATAACACGCACCCAACCCACCAATAAAATTGTATATTTTCATGATGCTGCGCAAATTTGCAGACAATTTTGCAGAAAATACATAATTCTAAATCAAAGGATCTGAAAATATAAAGTTAACTGAATTCAAAATCAGAAAAAAAAACGGACTCTCAATATGAAGATTCACTATATCAAGATTTTGTTGGTCATAAAATTTGCATTTGGATTTACTTTTGTTTTAGTGTATTTATTTATACTATATTCAATATTTTTATTACAAGAGAAATTAAAGAATCCTAAGAAGCATTTATAAATATTAGTATTACTATTATTATTCGAATATTCACACTTGTATTAGTATTAGTATTAGGTATTAAAATAATTATTATATTAATATATTAATATTTGAATGTCCGCAACACTTTCAAATATTAATATCCGTAATACTCGTAATACTTATATTAATTTAAGATGTCTTCAGTAATAGTAAATGATGGCATTATTTTAATTAGTGAAGAAACAATTTCTAATTTGTCGTCAGATCCCATCATCAATGATAGCTTATGTAGACCACCAAATAAAAAAAATATAAACTTTTGACGAAACATGAAGTCCTATACATCTGTTCCTGCAGAGCAGTTATTTAGTGATGCTGGAAACTATATTACACTAAAGCGTAAAAAATTAAAACCTGATGAGTAGAAAAGTTGAATAGGATTAGCAAATATAATATTTGGTTTTTAAAATTTGATACAGGGTCACAAAAAAAAAATACCACAAAAAGAAATGTTGTGTCAAATAGAAAATAATTTGTTTATTTTTTTTAAAAAAATTAAATATTAAAAAATTAAAATGTCCTTTAATAACTTATATAGTTTATTAACACAAGATAGAAGAGAATTACTACTTAAAATTTATAACGAAATGGATAGTAATGCTACATCTGCTTTTCCAACTGTTTCTGACAGTGAAAATTATAAAAGTTATTTTTTACAATTAGTCAAAGAAAACAAAGAACTATTAGAAAATGAAAAGGAATTTTGTGGGGAAAGGTTTATTTATAATTTTGAATTAAACAATGCAATTAATAAACATGGTGAACCAAGAGAATGCAATAATTGTAAAGCAGAAAGATACTCTGATAAATATTGTGAAAAGTGTATTAGTCTACACTTACAGAGCCTTTTTAGTACTTGGACATCTGGAAATGAGATAATTGATAGTTTTATTCAAGAGTGTCAACAGCTTTCATCTCTTCCGCAGCATATTATAGAATGGATACCTTATGAGCAATTTTATGATATAAAAAAGTTAACAGAGGGTGGATTCAGTTCTATTTATACTGCTGTATGGACAAGAGGAACTATTGATGATTATGATGAAAATAAAAAGGAGTTTAATTATTTTGGAGCTCAGTCTGTTGTATTAAAATCATTAAATAATTCAAGTAATCTAGGAAAACCTTTTTTTGATGAGGTAATTAATTTTATTTAAAATAAACTAAATTAAATCACTTTATTTATATAATTAATTATTAATTTCAGGCATTGAATTATTGCAAAATTAAATCAAACACAATTGTTTCTTGTTTTGGTATAACTAAATCCCCAGAAAATGGAAATTATGCAATAGTTCTTAATTATCATTCAGAGGGAAATTTAAGAGATCATATACAAAAAAATCATTATAATTTAACATTAAAAGATAGAATTAATATTTTTATGAATTTATGTGATGCATTATATTTTATACATAAAAAGGATTTAATTCATTGTGATTTACATAGTGGTAATATACTTGTGCAAGGAGGTGGTTGTTATATCACAGATTTTGGATTATGTGGACCAGTTGATGAAAAATCATAAATAAAATTTATGGAATTGTACCTTATATTGCACCAGAACTATTCAGAGGAAAAAAATACACAAAAGAAACAGATGTTTATAGTGTTGGGATGTTAATATGGGAAATATTTGCAGGACATCCACCATTTGATGATACAGCACATGATTTTTGTTTGCAATTAAAAATATGTGAAGGTTTACGACCACCAATATTACCAGGAATGCCTGATGATTGTGTACAAATGATG